ATATTATATTATAATATATTATATATATATTATATTATATTTGTTTTTATATTATGTTATATTATATTATATTTTGTTTTTATATTATATTTTGTTTTTATATTATATTGTATTATATTATATTATATTATATTATATTTTGTTTTTATATTATGTTATATTATATTATTTTATATTATATTATGTTATATTATGTTATATTATATTATTTTATATTTTATTATATTATATTATATTATATTATGTTATATTATATTATATTTTGTTTTTATATTATGTTATATTATATTATTTTATATTATATTATATTATGTTATATTATGTTATATTTTATTATATTATTTTATATTTTATTTTATTATATTATATTATATTATATTATATTATTTTATATTATATTATATTTTGTTTTATATTATGTTATATTATATTATATTATATTATGTTTTTATATTATGTTATATTATATTATATTATGTTATGTTTTTTCTTATATTATATTTTATTTTATTATATTTATAAATTATTTATATATTTATATTTATTTGAACTTTTTAAGGGACAATTTTCAATGTTATTAAACCATTAGCTATGACTTTTACCTCAATAAACTCATAATTTGCTGCTTATTAATAGTTATTAAGGTAATAATTTGGTTTCTGTATTGGGCAGGATTCGTGATGTAGAATGAGATCATGCAGTATATGCAGATTTATTAGGATGTTTATCTTAATAATATGCGGCTAATTAGCCACTAGTCAATAGAGAGATTTGAGATTTAAACTAAAGTGTTACCGAATATGTATATGTGTATAATTTTAAATATGTACTTGTTTTTATTTAGTAATGAAAAGTAATATTTATTTATTCTGATTAATTTCAGTCAGCATGCATATGTTAATGTGTATCAGTGCAGTATTACAAAAGTCAACAATGCATGGCATTTATTAATTTGCTGATCTTTGTGTGATCCAAAAGCATTCAAACCTCATAAGCAGTTTAAACTTTTTATACGTAATATTTTAGTTTAAATATGCACGCATTTCAGTATGCACAATATATTAAAAATATATAAGGACGGATAATTTTGCTTACGAATCACCTACAGTGCTGATTCAGCCTGGTTCGAGTCCTGGCTGGGTCAGTTGGCGTTACTGTGTGGAGTTTGCATGTTCTCCCCGTGTTAGGAGAGTTTGTGTATGGGTGTTTCCCAGTACTGGGTTGCAGCTGGAAGAGCATCCGCTGTGTAAAACATATGCTGGAATTGTTAGTGGTTCATTCCTCGGTGATGACCCCTGATAAATAAAGGGACTGAGCTGAAGGAAAATAAATGAATGTCTTAATTTATTTTAACCATGATGTAGTTTGATTTTGATATCGTCAAGACCGCTGAGACTGAGCTGTAAAAGCAGGTTTAATCTTTCATAAAGAATAGCAGGACTTGTGACCCTCAGTGTCAGATTTGATGGCGTATAACTGTGATATTCTGTACTCGTTGCTGTGTGTTCTTGATGCACTACATGTGTGCAGTTGTCCTGCTGCAGCACGTCTGTCTCCGAACACACATTTGCACATGTGTCTGTGTCTCTCGCTCTGAGCTCCAGGGGGAAACGAAGATACTGAAGCTGAAGAACCTGAGACCCAAGGACTACGCAAACTACAGCTGTATCGCCTCCGTCAGGAACATCTGCGGCATCGCCGACCGCAAAGTCATCTTCAGACTGACCAATAAAACAGGTGAGGTTTATTCCACTCCACAGCAGTGAGTTTCAGTAGTTTAACTGTTCTGAGCCCAATGCAAAAAGCCCTGTCATCAGGGAACAGAATGTGAGTAAAGGCATCAGTGTTTATTTATTTATTCCAAAGAGCAATAGCTGATAAAACACTGTGAATATGATGCAATCTACATAATCTAAATAAACTATCGACTCACCAACACAAGAGCACATGTCAGGAGGGAAAATATGTTGTTATTGTAAGCAGCTGAGAAAAATTCACTTATCCACCTAGAATATTCTAGCAACTGCATAGAGACACCTAAGAAGCTACATAAACACCCTCCAACTGCATAGCAACAACCTAGTATCTGCATAGCAACACCATAGCAAATGAGTAACAACACCCTAGTGACTGTGTAGTAACATTATAGCAACTGCATAGCGACACCTTTGTGACTGTAAAACAGTGTCATGGCAACTTCATAGCAACACCCTAGTGACTGTAAAACAGTGTCATAGCAACTGCATAGCAACACCATAGTGACTGTATAGCAGTGTCATAGCAACTGCATAGCAACACCCTAGTGACTGTATAACAGTGTCATAGCAACTGCATAGCAACACCCTAGTGACTGTATAACAGTGTCATAGCAACTGCATAGCAACACCCTAGTGACTGTATAACAGTGTCATAGCAACTGTATAGTGACACTCGAGTAACTGCATAGCAACACCCTATTGACTGTATAACATTGTCATAGCAACTGCATAGCAACACCTTTGTGACTGTATAGCAGCATCATAGCAACTGTATAGTGACACTCGAGCAACTGCATAGCAACACCCTAGTGACTGTATAACAGTGTCATAGCAACTGCATAGCAACACCTTTGTGACTGTATAGCAGCATCATAGCAACTGTATAGAGACACTAGAGCAACTGCATAGCAACACCCTAGTGATTGTAAAGCAGCATCATAGCAACTGTATAGTGACACTCGAGCAACTGCATAGCAACACCCTAGTGACTGTATAACAGTGTCATAGCAACTGCATAGCAACACCTTTGTGACTGTATAGCAACATCATAGCAACTGCATAGTGACACCCTACGGACTGTATAACATCATCTTAGCAACTGTATAACAACACCCTAGTTGCTGCATAGCAACACTCTACTGATTGTATAGCAGCATCATAGCAACTGCATAGCAACATCCTAGTAACTGTATAGCAACATCATAGCAACTGCATAGCTACACCCTAGTAGCT